TTTGAATTAAGACATGGAAAATGACGAGATTCGGAAGAGAATCAGACCTGACGATAACATATTTCAGAGCTCTCTGACTGGAAATTAGAGAGAAAACTGTAGTAACTGATGAAGAGAGAGAGACAGAGAAGACAAGACAGTGCCAGAGAAAGAATCTTGGGAGCAGGCAAAGAAGCCCAAGGGAGAGAAGCTGTTCTCAAGGTTTTAGCAGAAGAACTTGGAGAGTTCAGCTTTGTAAGATAAAATGGACAAAAAGACCAAACATTTTCTGCAGAGGTCATGGGAGAATGAGGATTGCCAGTATGTCAGTGGATATGGTCATTGCTGAAAATTTTGGTGGGACCTGCTTCAGTAAAGTAGTAGGTGAGAAAGACAGGTCACCAATGTTGACTAGTTGCAGAGGAATAGGATAAAAGGACCATAAACTCTTCTATGAAGTTTGGAGGTAAAAGGAAGAAGAAACTAACTCTGATAGATTAGGGAATTTTTCAAAAAGATTTTTTGTTAAAGATTAGTGTTGATCTGAAAATGTTTCTAATATTTAGAGGATGGAGCCAATAGAAAGGGAGAAGATTAATGTGCAATGAGAAGGCGAAATAACAGAGCAAGTTCCAGGAGGAGATGGATCAGAAAACAGGAATGGCAGATCAAGGAAGGGTGCAAATGAGGAGCAGAGGCAGTAGGGAGATGAGCCCAGGGTGCTTACTAAATTCATCAGTAAGAGAGGCAGGTGCTCTGGGACTAAGGAAGATGATGGGAAACGTAGGAGCTTCCATTGTGCACCAACTTCCACTTTGGAAATATTAGCTGCCCTCTCATTTTCTAAAAAGGCATGAGTCTCTGCGGTGACTAAAGCATGAATGTGAGGGTTGTTTATAGGACAAGTTCTCAGTCCTGATTGTACATTAAAATCACCTATGCTGGGAGGTTTTTTTTAAGAAGAATTACTGTTAACCTGGCCCCACTTTCAGAGGTTCTAATTTAATTGGCCTGGAGCAGGAGTCCAGGCATCAAGAAGCTCCCCAGATGATCCTAATTTCCAGCTTTGCACACTATTGGGCCACAGAAACATAACACATGGAGACAATTATTGTGCGTGAGTATTGTATTCATCTAGGATATTTCCAAATAATTACGCAGGTACAATGTATACGGTATTCTGTTAGTCACTGAAAAGATGAAAAGAAGAACTTTGAAGGGATCAGTGAAAAGTTGAAAAAGATTATCAGAAAAGCATATGCCGAGAGACTTAAAGTTATGTTGATCCTTCCACTCTCTTGTCCATATATCTATGCATTCAATCACCCCACTATCCTCTGAGTACCTACTGCGTGTTGAACACTACACTCCTGCTGAAAATAAAGAAAGAAAACAGCCTTTATCTCTAGGAGCCCAGACTGAGTTGCAGAGAGAGAGAGCACAAGGAAGTGGACGATTATAATTTCAGGTTGTAAATGCAGGGACAGAGGTAGGCAGCGGGTGCTCTGAGTATACAGTCAAGGGATATCTTATCCAGACAAGAGAGGTGGGAAGAAAATTTTGGGAACTGAGTCTAAAAGAGAGGGAGATGGGGTGAACGGTAGTGACATTCACCAAGCTAGATAATGGCACTAGATCAAGGCCGAGGATAGGTCTTCAGGATTGCCTTGACTACAGGAGATTCCTAGGAGTGTAAGGAATAGACTTGGATTATTAAAAGCTAAAACAACTTCATAAAGTCGTATTGTGGAGGTAATGTTAGAGAATGTAGCCTTAAAGAGTAATGGTAATTTTTCACTTAGCCACTGTATCAGTTAGGATCCAGGCAGAAAACAAATGGCACACTCAAATTGACTAAGGTAAGTTTAATAGATGGACTACTTTAAAAGGGATAAGAAGGGTGTAGGGAAATAAGGAAAAGTCCAGTGCCCTGGAAATTAAATGTTTTTACTCACAATACTCTGACACCCAATATGTGGGATTTTGCTCACACCAACCAATTCTCCAACTTTCTGGAGACCAACTGGAAATTCAATTCAATTCTGACACTACCCAGAGTTAACATCAGACTCCACAGGTTTAAGGGCTCAGTCCCACAGATGCCCTCACTTCAGACACCGGTTGCAAGTATTGGGTCCCTCGGTTACCCTCACTTCTGTCCAAGCTGGCTATGAAGTTGGGGGAGAGAGGTGTCCTCATAATCCTCCTTCCCTTTCAGGCTTGATAATTTGCTAGAATGGCTCACAGAACTCTGGAACACACTTTACTTATTATTACTGGTTTATCATAAAGCACGAAGGAACAGCCAGATGAAGAGGTACATAGAGCAAGGTCTGGAAGTGTCCCAAGCACAGGAACTTCTGTCCCCCTGGAGTGAGGACACCACCCTCCCAGCACCTCAATGTGTTCACAAGCTCTGAAGCTTTCCAAACCCAGTCATTAGTCACTTAGGGGTTGTTATGGAGGTTTTATCATGTAGGCACGATTGATTAAGTCATTGGTCTATGGTGATTAACTCAGTATCCAGCCTGTCTCCCCTTCCTGGAGATCAGGGGGTGGGGCTGAAAGTTTCAAACCTCTAATCATGCCTTGGTCTTTCTGGTGCCCAGCCCCCATCCTGAAGCTATCTAGGGAGCCCTAGCCACCAGTCATGGCATTAGCATACAAAGGACACATGACTCTGGAGACTCCAAGGACTTTAGGAGCTGTGTGCCAGGAACAAAGACTAAATATTTATTTTTTATTGTGTCCTACTTTGGCTCATAACAGAGGCTGTTCCCACCCCTGGGCCTAAAGGGGCAAGGGGGAGGTTGGATGTCAGAACTCTGTAGGGAAAGAAGGCTATTTGATAGGAGCAGTGACTTTTGCTTGAGAAATGCAGTGGGCCACAGTGACCTCAGAAGGAGATAGCTAGGGGACCAAATACCCAGACCTCACTCATCCTTTTTTCCAATCTCCTTCTGGTGTTCACCATTCAAAGGGAAGCTCATTGATGTCATCCCTAGAGACCAACATGGAGCACACAGCACAGGATATAAAGCCCAGTCAAGAAGGGGAGAGAGTGGATCTAGAGGGACAAACAGAAAATGTTCAGTCCATTCTCTGTTGTAATTAGATCTGTTTCATAGCTCATTCATTTACTGAGCAAGTATTCCTTGCTAGCTTCCATACCTAATGCCTTGAGGTGCCAGACAATGTACTAGGGGCTAGAAATGTAGTGGTAGACAAGAGGAAAACCCTGCCCTCAGGAAGCCTACATTCTAGTGTGGGAAGACAGAGAGTAAATATGGTACAAATGGTAAAAATGATAGTGATATGTGTAAAGGAGAAAAAATAGGGAAAAAGGGTAGAGAATGTGGGGATACTATTTTGGATCCTTTGGATCTTTGAGAAGGCACCTCGAAAAGGTGAGGGAGTGAGCCAAGCATAGGAATCAATAAGATTACATTTGATGTTTCAGTATAATTGATGGGAAATTAGCTACCAGCAACTCATCCCTCAGTTGGTATATCAGACAGATGGCCATGTAATTTATCTTTACCCACAGAGCATCCTGTACAGTGGCTTTGTTCAAAATAGGTGGTTAGTCACAGTTAATAGTTTAGTTAACAATTGGGACAGGGCTAAATATGTCAGTGCTTAATACAAAATTAGAATTAATATAGAAAAATGAAAATTGTAGAGCCAAATATTATAAGTTGATTCCATGCAGATGTTTCTCAAAATTCTATGTTTCATACAGCTCAGTTTTCTAATAACGTGTAAGAACTTGTGAGAGATAATTGGTGACTCTCTGGATGGGACACCTCTTTTCTCGTTGTTTTTAACTAGTGTAATGAGTATTTGAGGAGCCTTCATAGAATTTACTTTTACAGTTCTTATTAACTTACTGTTTGTTAGATATCGTCAAACATGAATATTCTGTGGTAACTCTGAATATCTAACTTGAAAGCCTCAAAGTCAGACCCATATGGTTGAAAACCAGTTCAATTTTTCAGTTTTACAATGGCAGAATTCTTCCCCAGGTATTATTCTGTAAACTGCATAAACAACAATAGAGGCGTTTAAACTGATAATCTTCCATTGTTATTAATTGTGCTTGGGGCAACTTCAGATGCAGGTTGGATCATTATTGTTGTTCTTGGAGAGTCCCTCTTCCAAATTCCTACATATGTCCACGTTCCTACTCATGGGAATGGGGGTGGCCTCTTTGATTGTCGCTGGAAATAACTCAGACCGGAAAGTCTGTGTGAATAAAACTTCCAGAATGTTTGCAGTATTTTTTCTGACAAATCTATTCATGAATGTTCAGAAACTCTCAGAATATTGTCAAAATCATTTTAGCTCTAAGTTAACAAAGATAGTAAATTGGCCATGATTTGGCTGTATCATCGTTTTTATATTCTCTGGCCCAGCCAGCCCCTACTTCCCTCTCCCCAGTCACACATCTGATTTTTCCCCATTTGGCTTTTCCTCACTCTTTCTCTAATTTGCCTCAAATTGATTGATTCAACATATGATTGCTATGATTAAAATATGTCACACATTTCCAATATCCATGGCAGGATTTTTTTCTGTATGTGTAATTCTGTCTATTTGAATATTGATGTGGTTGCATAAAATATTCCTATTCATTACAGCTCAATAGTTCAAAGGACTATTTGGAGTTAATTTTTCATACCATTCTCAATAACTAAATAACCTTATAGATTTTCTTGTAGCTTTACCAATGTATAGTTTATCTTATCTGGGCACGAAAAGCTTTTCATTTTATTTTATTTTGAAGTTCACTGGCCCAGCAGGTGGATCTTTGATGTCGTTTTTTTAGGTGCAGATGATTCCCAGAGAGTTTGAAGAATGTTGAGTGTTTGTTATTCCTTTGTTAAAATGCAAAAAGTGAAGCTGTGCTGTGGAAAGGCCTGTGCAGTGAGTGACATGAGCCTACAGAATGGCAACAGGCTGAGAGTGAATTGATGTAGCCATTTCTCCACATCTCACTTTTGTCTCCTTCTTTTTTTCAGCCACCCAGTGTAAGCATGGTGCTGTGTATGATACCTGTGGTCCAGGATGTGCCAAGACCTGTGACAACTGGAATGAGATTGGTCCATGCAATAAGCCGTGTGTCGCAGGTTGCCACTGTCCAGCAAACTTGGTCCTTCACAAGGGAAGGTGCATCAAGCCAGTCCTTTGTCCTCAACGGTGACCATTGTTTCGCTTAAGACTTTGAAACCTAGTGTCCTTGACACGGAAGCGGAAGAGCCAATGAAGAACTGCGGTATTTGTGTGCTGATTCTGCAAATACACACACAGAGTATATATGTGTACATATATAGATATATAGATATATTCAGAAACATTTCATCATTTATATAAACTATAGGTGGATTATTATATGTATATTTTTTGCTATAAGACATGTATTGTTTCTAGGATGCTAATCTGTAAGCCATTGGATACATTGTATAAATAAACCAGGTGTTTTTAATTTAATAAGGCAGCATGCAGACATATTGGATGGCTTTAATATCACATACATTTGTCATTTTTAAGGAACTTTTCTAAGAAACATAAATTGCCTGCCTGCGTTAATTTTAGCTTTGAATCAGGATCTGCAGTTGAGTGGGAAATGTTTTTCTCTGGAGAAGGGCAAATTTATCTAGGGGCATTTCATGCTTCCAAAGAAAAGACTGTATGTCTGAGAGAGATGGCTGGTGATCGTTGACAGGCCCTAATGGTGCATGTAAAGCAAGGGATAGGTTGTAAGACTTTATTTGGTCGTGGTCTGAGATTATTTCCAAAAATGATTGGCTAGTTGCCAAGAAATATAAATTTGTCACTAAAGCATAACCAAAGAATCTAATGATTTCTCGCCATCTTTGCATATTTTTTGAGCCTCCTAATTATATATGTGTGTATGATGTATGTGTCCACTTACATGTCACACCCTGAGATTAAGGAGTATTTGGGCGACGCTGGTTTTATTGAGCATGAGCAGATATTTGGAGAAACTGTTGCACAATATATGAAGAAGAAATATCTGTTTCTCTGAGTCTCGGAGCAATTTAGGATGGGCTGATCCAATGAGTTGATGTAAGCCATCTACGTTTTGTGACTATTCCATATATAAAACGAAAGCCTTAGATTATTTCTAGAAGATTCCTAGTCCAACACCATTTGGTGACTGTTAATATGTCATAATTGTTAGGCAGAAAGAAAGCCTTTACTGACTGGTTGATTTAACATCAGTCCAAACCAAAAAATGGTCTATATACTTGTTCTCATTTACTGATAGGTTGCTATAGTCACCATGTGATTTTCCTGACTTTTGTTTTCAGCTGAATAAGTGAAAATGTCAACAAAACAAAACCCACTGATGCCTAAAAATAAAATGTTCTGCATTGTAGTAAATAAAGAGCTTAAGATGTAAAACAATGCATTTTCTGTTTTAAGATGTGCTGTGTTATACTTTATAAATAAGCTATATCACCTTCAGGTTTGTCAATTTTTAACAGCTTTATTTAGATATATTTTATATGCCCTAAAATACTTTATTTTTATAAAGAGTATTATTGATAGACCACAGCAAACCCCCAAATTTTTGACAATCAGCATATCTCCATTGCTTGTTAAGACATTGGTGTTCCTTTTACATATATTCATGACAGCTAAAGGATTGATTTGGACTTTTTACTGGGACATCTCTACTTGTTTGAGTAAACTGAGTAAAGTGCAGAGTGTAGCAGTGACTGGCTGGGGCATCAGGGAATGCGGTTGTTATCATTGTGCTTGGGTCCTAAACACCCCAGTATCTGGGATCCAAGGTAGCCAGGTCGTTGCCTCAGTGCTGCACTTGGAAGGAGAGCTTTGATTTAGGAGACTTGGGTTCCAGGTGTAGTTTGTGACCTTGCCAACATTGTTTAAGCATTTGGGGCCACGCTTTTGCTTATCTGTATCACAAAGAAGCTGTGTAGTATATGGGCAGGGTTAAGAATCTGGAGACCTAGACACCCTGGCACTGGTGAGATCTCTTGCACAGTAATCTGAGACACTTATAGTTTTCAACACTTTCACACTTGTAATCTCATTTATTCCCACCCCCCTCCCCCAAAAGAAAGGATAGAGCAAATCAGTTGACCTTCCCTGGTTGGTTTGTTTTTGATTCTTTTAGATTATCTTTAAATTCCTTCCCAGTTCACTCTGGGTTTTCTGTCTATGAAAGAGGGATACAGAAGGGAAAATTGTGGATGGATGTTTACTGGTCATGATTCATCCAAAGACTGAGTAACTCTACCCAATAAGGCTAAATAGCCTCTTTCCCAACATATTTAATCATGGCCAACCATGGTGGATGAACGATGATGAAGGCTCTTCTTCATGGACCAGTTCCATCAATTTGGGCTGCTTGATTACAAGTTTGCATGACTTGCCTTATCCAGGGTTTAGTTTAACCTTTGTACGTTTTTCATTCCTCATCCTAGAAGAAAGAGAAGGCAGGGAGGACAGAGGGTGATTCAGTCCTACTAATCCATACAGGCAGCTGTCTGATGGGGGTGGCTGGGGAAATCAGCTGTCAGCTTGCATTTTCTGTTTTTGGCCATGGGCTATGCTGAGCAATGATTTTGTCTAATGATTGATCATAATGGAGATTACCCAAGTGCTTCAATGATAGTGGGCCCACTTTATTCACATGGGATATTTTTATTGGGCTCTCAAAGCCAAACTCCTGCAGAATTAGAGGACTTGAAATGAAAATGTTCTGCTTCTCTCTTTAATGTACATAACCCAGGTTAGAAATTAGTGTTGGTCTCCAGGTATATATGAAATTAAAAGATAGGTTAATCTTGCTCTAACTACATGTATAGAATCCCTATTTTTGCTTATGCTTTTAGCTACAAATATTGAATTTGGTGAAGGACAAATACCTTTGATGAAGAGTGAGCAAAATCGTGGTCCCAATTGCACATAGTTGGTGCTTAATAACAGCAGGTTCTTTCCCATCTCCCTGTGTAAATAGGAATGTTTGAAGATCCTGAACTAAAACTTTTGAACTAGGAAGAAAAATGAATCTTTGACATTGACAACAGCAATTATTCATTAAAAGGGTAGCACATTGAGAATCAGGTGAAAAGTGTCCTCTTATTAACTCATTGAATGTTTCCTGAGCATCTGACCACCAGCCTGTAAAAGGGCACTTCTGGAGCCAGCCCCGAAGGTCTAGTGGTTAAAGTTCCATGCTCTCTGCCTTGGCAGCTGGAGTTCATTCCCCAGTTGCAGAACCACACCACCCATCTGTCAGTTGCTGTGCTGTGGTGGGGGCTCACATAGAAGAACCAGAAAGACTTACAACCATGTGCTGGGGCTTTGGGGAGAAGAAGAAGAGGGAAAAAAAGGTAAAGTTTCATAGATTAAAAAAAAAGGGCACCTCTCAAAATGAAAAGGACTCAGTGGTTGACTTCCCCTCAGCTTTCATTCAACACAGATAAACATTTCGACTGGAAAACTGTTTCTTATTAAGAAATATTTCAGACTACAAAAAGGTATAGAGAATAATATTGTAAATTCCCATGAATACCTTACCTTAATTAAGAGAAATAATCTCATAGATAGTCAATAAATTTTTCTTGCACGAATAAAATCAAATCAAGTCTCATGGTTGAAACAACTGTGTGGAGTTTTTCCTTGTTGAGTTTCTGTTCACTTTGCTGCTTTTTGTCACTCACGTTTGTCTGGATCTGACAGTTATCAAGGATGTGAGCTGGGAGAATGAGAATGCCTTAGGGGACAGGCATCAAGACATTTTAATTAGCTATCTCCTCCAAACATAACCCTCTGGAGCAGCAAAAATTGTCTCCAATTCTAAATCATGAAGTACTAGCTTTTTCAGAATCCAGGATTTTAATTCTGAAAAATGACACTGTTCAAGTGGCCAAGAATGAATAAACAGGGAAAAGAAAGTAATGCTGGTGATTATGCAGACTCTGAATTAAGAATCCAGACATTTAGTCATGTAAGGGGACCTTTCGGGCTTTAGAGCCATGTTGCTACATTGGGTTTAATTACATCAATTGAATGACAAACACTTAACGTGAGATCCATCTTTACCGTGGTTCCCTTTCAGATTAATTTTGAGCAAGCCCACTTTGAAAAGATTAATGTCAGGGAGAAGGGTGGGAAAGCTAAGTAGAGAGATGAGCCTTGGAGGATCATTCAGAGTGAGGCTGGCGAAGCAAAGTGGGAGGGATGTTCCAGGTAGAGGGAGTTCAGAGCACCAAGGCAGCAAACGGCTCTGCACCTGTGGCTGTGCCCTAAGGGGTATGACATGAAGGGAGATGGTATAGCCCAGGTGTGTAGGGCCCCACGGTCATGCTAAGGAGCCTGGATTTTAGTCCTTAGGGTGGTAATTCCCAAAGCATTTATGTTATAGTACCTTCAGAAAATAAAATTTGTGTGTGTACCGGGGTAAATAGACAGGGCTGCCTGGAGCTGGAGATCACATCTAGGGACAACTTAGGTCCCATCCAACTGCTCCAAGAGTGGAAGGGATGCCAGTAGCCCTGCCACCCATTCCCCACACAGCTTTCAGTGGGCTGTGGCACCAGAGGGGAAGGTCTGTGCCAGGGCAGGTCCGGCTATGGGATGGTGTTAAGCAATGGAGTGAAGTGACCAGAGCTTTGTCTCAGTGAGTGGAGTGGAGGTGGGATTTTCAGTCAAAAGAGCAAGTGAGAGGTCCTGGGCATAGTCCAGGTGAGAAATGATGAGCCTCAGAACTAGGAGGAAGAAGGTATAAAGGGGAGAACTCTGTGACAGGTTGGGTGGCAGATAGGCAAGTTTCTGGCTTGAATGGTGGGTGGTGAAGGTGCCAGTCAGTCACATAAGGAATACTGGCAGGAGAGCAGATTTAGAGATATTTCTATAGTAAATTAAATATTTTCTTCAGGCTGCATTTGGTTCAGTTCAACAGACATCCTGAGCATTAGGATTCAGACATGCTCCTTCTTAAGACAGTACGGTCCAGGATGAATGATTTGTGGTAAACCAGAGGCACACATAGCTGGCTGCGGAGCCTCAGGAAGCTCAGTTTGGGGTTTTCTATTTGGAGGCGTGTCAAGGAAGGCTTACCAGAGAGGATGACTCCTGAGAAGAGCCTTACTGGCTGAATGGGCTCTACCTATGCCAAGAGGTTGTGTGTGTGCGTGTGTGTGTGTGCATGTGTGTGCGTGTGTGTGTGCATGTGTGTATCAGCAGGAATGGTGTAGTCTGGGAATTCAAGGCATGACTCCCTGTGGATAAGGAGAAAGAAAAGCAGGCAGCCTGGGGGTGCAGAAGGCAACAGGGTTTTGGTACTGCTGGGGTATAATGGACTCAGAGAACTTTATTGAGCTGTGGCAATGTAGTTCACAACCCTGGCAGATCTTTTCAAGCATCCTTTGATTTCTAGTGGGGGGAGCACAGTAGGGTTTGAGGAAGGGTTGGCATTTGGTTATAAGCCCTCTTTGCTTCCACACCTGAGTGTGTTCCAGTTTCCTTGATGTGTCTTCTGAGCATCTAGAAAGGGAAGGAGGAGGGAAGAGGCTTCTAAGGAGACTGTTCCATCTGCCCTTCAGTGCTGTACAGTACGGCAAGGAGGCATCTTCAGACCCTCCAGGCATTGGTTGCTATAGCAGAACTGGTCCAAAGTAGATACATTTGAACACTGCTTTTGTTGACTTGGCTGTGGCCTGATGGCAGGACTGGGGGATGCTTAGGGTTCAAACAGCTGGACCTACTAGTGGCAGCTGGTCACACTTCCAGGTAAAAGGCCTGGAAACACAGCTCACCTAGAGTTCTGGTCAGAACAATTCTCTCATGTTTTACCCACTCAGTGTCATAACCCAGCTTATGCCTTAAAAACTGACATGAACTGCTTCTCTGCAAACTCCAACTGGAACTTGACTTCCTAAGTAATTCCTCTGAGGGCTTCTTTCAGCAGTGTAATTTTGGGCTTTAGGAAATGTTTGTGGTGATGAAAAAGTTTCACTTTGGCTCCGAGAGTGTAAATACCATTTGTTATATTGTCATTTTCACCATGTTCCTACATGTAATTTAAAGAATCAGATCCTGAACAGCTCCTTCTGGCTCGAGTGCTTAAACAGGCGTGACGGGGAGTGGAAGGCAGCAGGAAGCCTGACGGGATCCACCCCCACGCTGAGCAGGCTACCCTGAGAGCCTCTGGTGGGATGCGTTCCTGCTGGAGCATGCTTCTGTGAAGAAGCTGATTCAAAGGATCCTCGTCACTCAGTATGAATTCCCATTGCCCTCTCGAAGACAGTTGGACCAGGGGGGCCTCTGTCTTACAAACCTCAGTTGCTCCCTTTACTTTCTTAGAACGAATTGGCTGAGACAGGAAATTGAAACGGCAGGAAGGAGAGAGGATTAAAAGATAGATTTATTCACAGC